GTTGCCAGGAGAGAGCACAGAGGGGAGCCCCATGGGTGGTGGGTGGGGACCTGCAGGGCGCCCTGAGGGCTGTCTGCCTTGAAGCCCCTTTCTGAGCAGGCAGCGCCACTCCCTCCTCACCTCCCTCCTGCCCCACCCACATGGCCTCTGTGTCCACTTAGAGGCCCTGCTTCTTAGGACATTTTCGTAGTGTTCTGAGTCAGGCTTTTCTCATCCTGGTCTGTCTTGCTTCAGTTTCAGTGACGCATGTGCCTCAGAAAGCATGTCGGGTGGCCTCTGTCCAGCCGGGACTGGGGAAGGCCCAGGGCAGCATGGGGGGTGCAGGAGCCTGTGCTGGGGGGGCTGGGCAGAGGGTGTGTCCATGGCAGAAACCTGGGCCCAACTGGGAAAGAGGCAGGAGAAAAGCCCCCAGCCATGGGGAGGTGAGGACACCTCTTGGTAGAGGCTTAGCAGAGGAGGTGGTGTGAGAGAGTGGACGCTGTGCCATCTTGGCGCCACGTCCACTTGCTCCAGACGACCCTTCATCCCTCTCACTCCTTTGCTGCATTAAGCCTCTGCCCCCGTCTTTCTTTGTGGAACCATCTCTGCTTTGCACATTGTCTCAGCAGAAAGTTCTGCCGAGGCTCTGCCAGGCCTCATCCTGTGCTGGTGCCAGCTGCCTTCATTCCCGCTGCCCCGCGAGAACCAGAGCAGCGTCCCTCAACACTCCCAGGGCTGGCTGGTCCCTGGCAGGCACATCTTGACAAGGGCCCTTTATCGTGAGGTTCAGAGAGAGGCAGGAAGGACAGCCCCTTGTGGGTGGCCCAGAGCTGGCCTGTTGTGTTCCTACACGCTGGGAACAGAGCTCCATGAGCTGCCGTGATCAGAGGTCTGTGGAAGTCAGTTTCTCTTTGGAGAAAGCATTTGAGAGTTAAAAGCATTCACCCTAACTGATAGAGTTATGGTTAGGGTTAAACTTGATGTCAACCAAAAAGTTGCCTTGAAATTAGAACCAAACGAATGTGTCTCAACTCTTAAGAGAAGAGTAAATATTCAAAATAACATATGCTGCAAGGAATCCTGGAAGAATGGGCCCTTCTGAGGCATCAGCTGTCCCCAGCCTGGGCCGTGGGTGTAGAGACCCCCCCGCAGATGAGCTGTCCCAGAAGGTCCCTGCGGCACGGGGACTCGTTTTGAACTCTCTGATGTGTTTGTCTTTTGCAGGTCAAAAGAAATATCTCCTATGGCTGTTCTTCCTTTTTTAAAAAAAAAAAAATTTTTTTTCTCTCTTATTTTTTTTTTTTTTTAAGATGACCCGTAAGGGGATCTTAACCCTTGACTTGTGGTGTTGTCAGCACCACACTCAGCCAGTGAGCTAACCGGCCATTCCTATATGGGATCCGAATGCGGGGCCTTGGTGTTATCAGCACCGCACTCTCCCGAGTGAGCCTCGGGCCGGCCCATCTCTCTCTCTTTTTTTTTTTTTTGTCCTTTTTGAAACCGGCTGCATCGCGCTCAGCCAGTGAGCGCACCGGTCATCCCTATATAGGATCCGAACCCGCGGCGGGAGTGCTGCTGCGCTCCCAGCGCTGCACTGTCCCGAGTGCGCCACGGGCTCGGCCCCCATCTCTCTCTTTTTAACAGAAAGTTCCCAACAAATCCTAGCCTAAGTTGTGGAGTTTCCCCTTGGGTTTTCCTTTTGCCATATCACTGATGTTTATGTAACAGATTTTAAATGGCATGTGCTCTGCATGGACAGGAAAGTTTAACTTGTTTCTTTTATGGTTAAGACCCTAGAGAATTTGCAAATGATCCTGTATTTATTGTACTTCTTGTCACACGAGACAGAATATTTCAGGTCTTCCTGGGGCCCTTGATATGAACACAGCTTGAGCCCTGCTCTTCCACCCTCGCAGCCTCGAGGAGGCCCACACAGGCTTGATGGTTCCTCTGAAGGCCATGGGGCAGGTGTGAGGCTCAGTGTAGGGTGTGAATGGCACCGGGCAGGAGCTGAGCTTTCTCATGGCCGCACTCCCAGTCAGGAGAGGCACGGGGAGCTGGTCCACTTTGCTCTTCTGCAAGCAGGTGAGGGTGTGGCATTCCCTAGGCGCTGGAACACAGCTCTCTACCTGCAGGTCTCTCACGGGTCTGGATTGAGCTGCTAGAAAGAGTCCGCATGACTGGCTCCACCCCCATTTTCTCGGCCTTCTGGAAGGCATCCATGGGTTTGCTGGGAGGCCAAGGGCTTGGCTGGAGCCTCCTGTCCTGTGAGGGCCTCCTTGCCTTCTCACCGTGGCCAGGGCCCTTTTGGTTGACCCGCTGCTGAGCAGGGGAGGGTCCTTGGAAGGGTGGAGACGCCCCCCCGCATTGCATCCACCCACGTGTGCCCCATCCCACTGCCAGCCACCCACAGCTGGCCATGGGCTCCCGTTGAGTCTGGCTTCTAAGCCAGTCTTCTCAGGGAATTTGTGTGGGAATTTATGAGAAATGTGTTAACTTCCAGTAGGGTTCCAACATGCCTGATGTTTCCTGGCTTCTGTTTGTTGGCTGGCCCCTCATAGTGCATGGTCACTTGGGCCACAGACACCATGTCCAGGATAGGATGTGTCCAGTCTGAGGGTGGGCCTGTGTACGGTGGGGACAGCTGGTTCTAGAGATGCAGCCAGTCCTTCCTGCCTGCCCTCCCCTGCCCAGGGCCTGCCCTTGGCCTACTTTTCTGGGTGTGTTTCAGGCCCTTCCACCTGGTTGGGGCCTGGACCCCTGTGGTGGGGAGTGGGTGAGGCGGGGTCTCAGCCTGCTGCCTGCCGTCTCCAGGGCACGGTTCAGTGCTGGATGCCTGGGGTAGCCATGCTGAGGAGAGCCGTGGTGTGGGCACAGGGCAGTCACCAGGGAACACTGGTGGGAAACACTTCGTCCCGTGGTGACAGGATGCTTCTGGAGGCTGCAGCGTTCCGACCACACACTTCTTCCCCCATGCAGAGTTGGCATTCCTCCTCAGAAAGGCTTCCCTCCCAGCTCGCAGACTGGCAGGTGCTGCGCAGCTCCTGCAGCGGGCCCTGGTGGCGGCCTTCACTGAACATGTCAAGGGTCTGCCCGCCCGTCGGCCCTCAGCCTTCACTCTAATAAAGACTGTCTTGGCTGCAGACGACTCTCATCTGGCGCCTCATTCTGTTGCTTTGCATCCTGCTCCCTATTTCCCCTGCCCTGTGTGGTTTGAAGTGGGAATTCAGGAGGGCCCTTGGGTGCCTGTGAGCTCAAGGGGTGGGCGAGTCGGTGGTGACGTTCCTAAGGGACTTCCTGCATGGGCCTCCTGCAGGACATGGCAGGGCCTCAGCCTGGCATCCCTTTTATTTGCCAGGAAACGGTTCCAAAAAGCCACTCTTCCTACTTTCTTGGTAATCTACGGAGGCTTCTTCTGTCCCTAAATGAGACGTGTTCTCAGTGGTTCCACGGATCTTAATTTTGTTGCCTCATCCACGTAGTTGAGAAATAGAGGAAAGAGCTCCGTAAGGGCTCAGTAGAACTGTTCAGACCTTGCCAAGGAACTTGCTCTCAGCACCTGGTAAACGCCTCTCCAGGGCCAGCGCCCCTCAGCCTTGAACCAGGCTGGACCTTCTTAAGCTAATTTTTATTTATTTATAATTTTTATTAGCATATTCATTATTACAAATCATAATTTTTCTTCCCAGGGGACTTTGATTCTGAGATTCTCAAGGACTGAGTTCTGCCAAGACAGGCCTAGATGGGAGCAGCAAAGCTGCTTTCGGGGGCAGCACGGATCCAGCAGGACCTCGGCGTGTGCTGGGAAGACATAAGTTCAGGATGACAGGCCCCACCAGGGACACAGCATCGGCCATGGTTGGTGACCATTGGTATCACACTTAGCTAAAAGTGACAGTCACCAGAAGTGTCCAGCCACTCACTGTCAGATGACGCTCAAGTTAAACGTCTTGGATTGACCACTTAAGTGTATTCTAAGAGCTGTTTTTATATCCAGGAAGGCAGGAATATATTTTAAGTAAAATGAGCTTGATTTAGTTGACAGGACTTAGAATTAAATGTATCACTCAGAATTCCTAAATAGAATTAATAAGATGCTTGTCCCCAACTGTCTGGAATGGCTGATAACCATGGTGCCTATTTCTGGGGACTCTGTCTCTTTTTTGAGAGAGTGAGTCCTTTTCCTGGGAACCCCTGATGTCAGACAGCCATCAGGGTGGGGGTGGCCCTGCCTTGAGTCCAGGGGGTGCTCCCTCCAGGACTGCTAGGGCCTGTGTGTGTTGGCACCGCCCAGCCCGTGTCCTTGGAACTCTGCAGGACGTGGCGCACTCAGGCCTTGTGTTACCCTTCACTGTCTGTTTTCGGTTAAACCATAGCTCCTCCTTCCTGGGCTGTCTTGCCATGTTGACTTTTATGTCACTGAGTTTTCCAGGCCTCATTGCTGCTGAAGTTTCGTTTCATCATTGGGGTTTCCAGATTTCCTCTACTGTTAAACTGAGCTAGACTTGGGATTTGGTTTCCAGGTTAGCTCTGTCCTTGCTGAAGGGCTTGGGCTGGAGAGTGAGCAGGCTCCTCACACCATGTTTGGAATGGAGAGAATGAAGCCACAAAGGTGCTGCAGCTCATGTGGGAAGGCAGCGTGTTGACAGGCGTGCAGATGCCCAGTCTCTGCTGTCTGCCAGAGAGGCCCAGTGAGAAGCCTGCAGGCTGTGCTGGGCGCATCCAGACGCAGATCTACTGGGCTAGGTTCTTCTCATGGGGGTCGGGCTCTGTAAGGAGCAAGCACCTCCCCTCCCCCATCTTGCTTTCTGCAGGACCCTGGGGGATGTGGTGACTCTGCCTCAGCTAGGACAAAGGATTGAGACCTCACCCTCTCCCCAGAACTGCCAGTGCCTTGAGTCCCATGTTAGCCCTGCTGACAAGGGCTGACCCATGGGGCATTGGGCAGGGACAGAGGACACAGGCACTTCCAGGTTAATAAACAAGAACTTTATCTGAAGTTCCTTAACTCTAGCATTTAGCTATACACAGAATGGCATTTTACATATGTTGGACAGAAATAAGAGAATCAAGCCCCGGCCAGAAAGGTTCCAGAACTGCAAAGATCTGTTTGATCTGATCCTCACTTGTGAAGAGAGAGTCTACGACCAGGTGGTAGAAGGTAACACAGACCCTGCACCTACCCTGCACAGCTGTGCTTGGGGAGGGACGGGACTCTGCCATGCTGACTGCCCGCTCTCTGCTTCCAGGATCTCTGACGTCTGTGTCACTTTGTCCCAATCAGATCTGAATTCCAGAGAACAGGAGACCTGCCAGCCAGTGCACGTAGTCAACGTGGACATCCAGGACAACCACGAAGAGGCCACACTGGGGGCCTTCCTCATCTGCGAGCTCTGCCAGTGTGTGAGTACCAGGGACCTGGGCACCCTGCTCCTATCCCGGGCTGCACTGGGCCAGAGGCTCCGTGGAAACCAGTTGCTCCTGGCCAGGCAGCTCACTGCACATGCTCCATAGGGGTTGAGAGAGTGTGACCGCCCGGCCTGGGGTCCAAGCAGTCTCTGCCAGAGGAAAGTGGCAGAGACCTCCACCTTCATGGGGCAGGGCTTCCCAATGCAAGCAGCAGCACATGATGCAGTTCACAGTCATTTTCAAATGTTAAAATGCGAGTAGATGCAGGGGGTCCACAAGTTTGAGAACCAACTAAAGACTGGCTTAAGAACCCACATTTGTGCTCTGTGTTCATCGCTGATAGAAGGGGGCAGTGACCTGTGCAACCTCAGGTTCCTGTGAGGACCGTGTGTGGCCACCAAGACCTCCCAGGACACAGGCCCCTCTGATGGAGCGTTGGAGTCAGGGGTGTGCCCTGTGTGAGCCTGGGGCTTCCGGAGGTGGCGTCTGCAGCAAAGGGCTCTGTGTCCTACCCTTCACCCTCTGGATTTGTTGTTCCAGACATCGGGCTTTCCCTGAGGGGCCCTGGGTGTCCTCCCACATGCCAAGGAGGCGGCTGTGCCCCAGGGGCTTTTGTACCCACTGTGCAGGTGTGCTGCAGTGCTTAGCTGTGAGCAAAGGACTTCCCAAGAAGAGACTCACGTGCTTTGTCCTGTCTTCTGCTCTTGGGGTCTGAGTCTAGGTCAGCTGACTTTGAGTGACAGAAAAATGAAGAAAACAGTGAGAAAACAGTGGCTTAACCAAGAGAGAAGTTTGGTGTCACACTCACGAAGTCAGGGATGGGCAAGCGAGGGCTGGTGAAGTAGTGGTGTGGGACCCAGGCTCCTGCTATGTGGTTGCTCAGCCCGGCACAGCTTCTGTGCCTGATACGTCTCATGGTCCAGCGTGGATGCTGACGCTCCAGCAGTTGTGCCCATGATCCGGCCAGCATGCAAGAGAAAGAGCTTCAGGGAAAGGCATGTCCCAGGAGTTATGCATGCAACTTCTGCTTAGGTCATGTTGGCCAGAGCCCAGTCCTGGAGGGGCCTGTCCTCACTCTGAGACACTGCATGTGGCCAAGGCTGGGGACCCAGGGGAGGCGGAGTCTGGGGGCAACCAGCAGCCCATGCTAGGGCGGGCGTGCTCAGAAGCCAGCCTTCCTCACCTCCAGGCAGGAGTTCTCCACCAGGCCACATCTGGCAACATCTGGCCACATCCGTGGTTCTTACCACATGGAGGGATGCTGTGGCATCTGGTGGGTGGTGGCAGATATGCTGCTGTACACACCACTGTGTTCAGGATGCCCCAACACTGTGCATGGGCAGCTCCCTCCTTGGGTGACTTCATGCAAGTGACTTCTGTGCCTTCATTTGCAAAGTGGAGACAGCACTGGTGGTGAGGGTTCCGTGTCTGTGCAACATCTGAGGACAGGCCCTGCTGTGGTCGCTCCGTGTTGGCCTGAACTCCAGCCTCCAGGTTTCAGAGTTGGCCCCTCCTCTCAGAATCGCCTCTGTGCTCCACCCAATTTGTGGCTCTGTAGTGGCTGCTGTGGAGGTCATGGTGCCCGCTGCCTCCTCCATACGAGGCTCTGCCCCGGGGGAGGGCCTGGAGCTGCCCTGGGAATACTCTGTCCTTGAGACCTTGCTGGGGTGGGGGGTGGTGAATGTGCCTCTGGGTATTGCTCAGCACCAGAGCAGACCTGGCTTCTGCAGGGGCCTGGGCTGGTCCAGGCCTGGGGTCCCCCAGTGATCCAGGTGTCCATGGGAGAGAAGACGCAGATTCCAGGACAGGTGGGGGCAGGGAAGGGCCTTGGGCCTCGTGCTGCTCACGTGGCTGTGCTGTCCTTTCCAGATCCAGCACACAGAGGACATGGAGAACGAGATTGACGAGCTGCTGCAGGAGTTCGAGGAGAAGAGCGGCAGGACCTTCCTGCACACGGTCTGCTTCTACTGAGGGCGCCGCCTGCCCCAGCCAGCGGCCTGCACGTCCTTCGTCAGTGCTGCTTCCTTCTTGACGCTGTCTACTTTAGGTGCACTGCTGCGGGTGGCAGTGTTACCCCGATAAACTGTACATGTGAAATGAGAAGATGCACATAAATGCCAGATTAAAACAAGTTCTTCTACCCACTTTTACAATAACGAGTGGGATATTGATTATAGAGGTTTCTTTCGTTAACCAAAAAAGAAAAGGTTTATAGGACATTTCCCCCTACGTGTCTGTCCCACCCGCCTTTCCCCTTTCCCCTCCCCTAACTGGCTGGACTGTACAAACACCTGAAATAAAGCGATGGGCTGGATCTTACTAGGAGAGAACCTGGAACTGTCCGGTAAATGGAAGCTGCTGGTCATGTCTGCTTTTATCTTTTTTTTTTTATTTTTTTTTTATAAGATGACCAGTAATGGGCCGGCCCGGTGGCTCACTCGGGAGAGTGCGGTGCTGATAACACCAAGGCCACGGGTTCGGATCCCATATAGGGATGACCGGTTTGCTCACTGGGTGAGCGTGGTGCTGACAACACCAAGTCAAGGGTTAAGATCCCCTTACCGGTCATCTTTTTTAAAAAAAAAATCAGGTTTGGTCATTGTTGTGGAAAGAACAAATATTTTAAAAAAATCTATATTTCCAATATTGTTGCTTTCTCCTGACAATTTACCCTATTTGTCAGTTTCCCCTTTCCGCCTGTGATTTCCTTCTGTCATACAACAAACTTCCATAGACTGGGTGATTTATGAGCACCGGAAATTTATTTTTTACAGTTGTGGAGGCTGGGAAGTCCAAGATTTGGTGTTGGTGAAGGCTTGCTCTCTGCTTTAGAATGGCACCTTGTCATTGTGTCCTCAATGGTGGAAGGAGCTAACAGCTCTCTTGAACCTCTTTTATAAAGGTACTAATCCCATTCGTGAAGCCTCTGCTCTCATGGCTTAATCACCTCCTAAATGCCCCACCTCTTAATACTGTCACACTGATGGTTAAATTTCAACATATAAATTTTGGGGGACACATTCCGGCCATAGCACTTGTGTTGATGCTGCACTTCCATTCATATCCTACGTATAACTGTTCCCATGGAAGGTCCCTTGATTAGAGTCATGCAGAGGTGTCCCTGCCTTCTTGTTTTCATTCTCCATACCTTGTTAATTCCAGGTGACTATTATAATTCAAGTTTTCAACTTTTACGATGACAAGACATTTCCTATGTAAGATAATCCTGAATCATTTTTCACCCTTGATGTTAAATTTACAGTCAACTTGATGCCTCTAGAATTCATGTATATGATCACTCTTTTCATTTTGTCTCCCGCGGCCTTGGTGTTATCAGCACCGCACTCTCCTGAGTGAGCCACGGGCCGGCCCATGGTCATCTCTGCTTTGTCTGAATTCCCGGCCTGGCCCTCACCCTTGAGGAGGAGGCAGCAGAGGCCTGGCCACTGCTGCTGACCGGCAGGACCTGAGACAGCAGGTGCGCTGCCACCAAGGGCAGTCCTGGGCCTAGGGCCTCCCCCTGACCTGTGTTGCCTTCAGCAGGAAGCTGACCCCTCCCCACTCAGGACTGCTGGACGCAGGCAGAATGGGCCCCCTCCCTCTGTGGAACCTGCCCCTGAACTCGCTTGCCTGTGGTGTCAAGACTGTCCTCCAAGGGTCCGCCTTACTTCCAGGCGACCCTCCGGTTTCCTAAGGCTGAGTAGGGCAGGCCCTGGGGCTCCTGTGCCTATTAGGGATGTGCCTCAGGTGGGTGAGGGTTTGGCTTGAGGACCCCACCCCAGGCGCCTGGCATCAGGGGCAGCCAGAGCAGGACCATGGACACCGGGCCTCTGGATTTGAGGCTGCCTGGCTAGAGTGCCTGGGGCCCCTGCCGTCAGCATCCCCTGCCTGGCCCTGCTAGTCTCTCCTGGTCCCCCCATCTGCAAGGCAACCTTTGACCTTTGCTGGGCTCTAGGTCAGCCCATCCCTGCCTTCTGCCCTCCCACCCCAGCCCTGTGGCCATGGCTTTGGAGTAACCTCCCTGGCAGCTGTTCCGTGACCTTGCGGGCCCCTCCACCAAAAGCCCTTCCCCGCTGAGCCGCCGGCCAGGAGGAGGGTCCGTCAGTGAGCAAGTGCGGCAGGAACGGCAGCCCCTCCGGCCCACCGGCTCCTCGGCGCTGACCGCTGGCCGGTCATGGGCTCTTCCAGGCCATCGCGTGCTTGATGGACATGAACGCGCTGCTGGACCGATTCCACAACTACATCCTCCCGCACCTGCGGGGCGAGGACCGCGTCTGCCACTGCAACTGTGGCCGGTGAGTCCGCCCCGGCGCCGGCATGACACGCGTGATCACACATGTGCGCCGGGCCCCGCGCCGGCTGGGCCGCTTTAGGCCGGTGGGAGCTGCCGGGTGCCCTGGGGGAGGGGCCGTTCCCGGGAACAGCCTGAGCTAGCGCGGCGCCTCCTGAGAGGGGCGCAGGCTGAGCCAGTTAGGACGCCCCCCAAATGCCTTTAGAGAAAGGGCCGGCCAGGATGATGATGGCGGGGTGGGCCTGGGGCCTTCTGTGTCAATGCCAGGAGCCCGGAGAGTGGCAGCCCAGTGTGGCATCCACAGTGGCCGCGCGGCCCAGCCTTTGGGAGGGGTCAGGCCCCGGGCAGTGGACTCAGTGCCCTCCTCCTGGACCTGCACTGGATCCGTGACCTTTCCCTAGAGCCCAGGGCTGGGAAGTACGGAAGGTCAAGGTGCGCAGGGCCCTCCCTGAGGGGCACCTGGCACAGCCCCTGCACTGCAGAGAGAAGGAACTGAGGCATGGGGTGGGGGGTGGGGAATAAGGGGCAGAGCTTGCTCAAAGTCACCCAGAGCTAGGGGAGAGCCCAGGCCCCCTACCCCACTGTGTGACCCCCTCCTGTGCACACGTAGTGATGGAGTCTTCCCCGCCATGCATGTCTGTATGTTCCTGTATGAAATAAACATCTTCTCATGAGACGCGCATGTGTGTACCGTCTGTGCATATACATGTGCGTACACACAGCAAATGCACACATACGCATGCCCTCTCATCCCCACAAGACACCTTCATGGGTGACATTGTCATCCCTGCTGGACAGATGAGGAAGTGGACAGAGGCTTTGGAGGACACACTTGCCCAAGGTCACGCTGCTAGTCGTGGACGGCGGCGGGTGGGAAAGGAGGCACAAACCTTAGACTCTGCACTCCTGCCTCTGGGTCTGTGTGCACACATAGTGGGTGCAGGGCACATGTGAGCCAGGACAGTTGCGTGTCTTGCTAAGCATGTTACATGCCTATGGGTACAGATAAGTGTGTTGAGAGAGAACATGGCATTAGAGCAGGTAGAGACGAGGGTGTATAAGACGCCCACATGTGCTGGGCGTGGGGGGAGAGTTTGCTGGGTGGCCACGTGTTCCCAGAGAGCCCTGTATTCCTGCCGGATGTGCACGGCCCGCCCGGCATGTCTGATGGCTGAGGAAAGGCACAAGGTCAGGTCCACGGCCTCCAGGGCCGTGACTGAATGCACGTGGCTGGGTGATCCTGAGACCCTCCCTAAGGCTGGCAGTGAGCACGCTCCGGACCCAGACTCCAAGCCCCATGAACATCAGTAATACACATTTCACATGTGTGGGTGGTTGTGACCAGCGCATACCTGCCTGTGACAGCACTCTGAGGGTTTGCCAGGGCAGACAGGGGGCATGTTTTTAGAGTGTATTTGTATAGGGCGAGCATAAGCGTTTCGTGTAGTATCCAGAGTACATGTGGGCTCATGTAATACAGGTACCTGTAGGGTGTGCAAGCTGGAGCCAGGCCTTTGTGCACAGGAAACACAGAGCCACACTCTGCTATGGACATAGTGTATTTCTGCGTGTGTGTCTCCATGTACATGCTTCATACACATCTCCACATACAGGATATGTAAATTCTGCATACGAAGTCCTCTTGTATATTGACAACATATATGTGTATGCAAAGTATACATATATAATACAATATACAGCCCAGAGTGTGCTCAGGGAACTGTTGAAATGTCTCCATGTGGATGCAGCAAATGTGTGTTCAGATTACAGTTGTGCACATGGAGTGTACATGTAAGCACCATACACACACACTGTCACAACAGATTCAACCCGTGTGGACACACTGTGCAAAATAAGCGTGTATACATGTGTATGCCTTGTACATGCCTATACGTGGAATTTCATACAGATGACATGCATGTGAATTAATGCTCCGAAGGACGCATGTGCACAAAAACCCATGCATACGACACAGTGTCCCATGAGAGGTTGTCTGTGTGCAAAGCCGAGTGGATGTGCACCCACGTGTGCTACACACCATGCTCGTGACTGAGGGTGTGCACGGTGCACAGATGTGGAGCCTGTGTCTGTGGTATACATGCCATGTCCTATGCATGTGGCCGGCGTGTATACACAACATGCATTGGACCTTGGATAGACACATGCGGTGTGTGTGGCTCAGGCAGGACACACGTATGCGCATGTCACAGGCATACGTGTGCAGATGGCCCGTCTCTGCTGAGGCCTGCCTCATTCTGCTTTCACCTGGGAGACCTGAGCCCCCGCCTGCAGGAAGGAGAAGAGCCAGGGTCAGGGTAGGAGGAGCTGCAGATGCCCGGGCCAGCCGTGGGGCACAGGTTGTGACCTTTGACCTCCTGGAGGTTGGGGCCCTGCCTTGCCCTACTTGCAGGGCCCCAGGGAAACTTCTTGCTTCCTTGGTGACTTGGTCTTTGAGTTTTCCACCCTGGCCAGCTGTGCACCCACTACTAACGGGTCAGGAAGAATTTCCTCCCCTGGGGCAGGCGGCAGCTGCACATTCTGGGCGACAGTTAATAGTTTTCCAACAGTGGTGGACGATGGCTAATGAGCTCATGGTGGGACACGCGACACTGTCAGGCGTCAGTCACAGTCACGCCTCACCGACTAGCCGGGGGCCAGTGGCCCCTGCTTTGTGGGCGGTGGTGGCCCCAGCCCCGCCCACCGAGACTGGCCATGCTCTGGCCATGCTGAGCACACTGGCCTCTAGGGGTCCCCAGGAAGACCAGGAGGGGTTTCAAGGAGGCCAGGGCAGGAACTGCCTCCTTTCTGTCCCTGCTGGCCTGGGTTTGGGGCTCAAGGACTCTCCGGCCCCATGGGGAGAAAAGTGCTCATGTGGGCCCGGCCGGGCGCAGAAACATGGGCGAGGGTGGGCGGCAAGGGCCCGGGAGGACGGGTCATGTTTCCATTCTGGGGAAGGTCCCTGTGGCCAGATGTGGAGCGAGGCGGGGAAAGGGCGAGGGGTTGTGGAGTAGGGACCCCAGGGTCTTGGCCAAACACAGGCAGGGAGCTGCCATCTCAGAGGGGAAGATGGGGAGGAGCAGGTTTGGGGGGAGAGGAGCTATTTTCAGATACGTTCGAGGTGTTTGTAGATCCCACATGGAGAACAGGCAGCTGGAGCTTGGAGCAGACATGGGGGACAGCAGGGACTGCAGGGAACTGAGGGGAGGGGGCTGCAAGGGGCCGCAGGGCAGGAGGACCCTGGTGGCCCCTGCATGGTCCTGCAGCAGGAGGTGCAGGGAGTGTGACCACTGTGGTGTCCTGGGCATGCAGGGCCGCGGCTCCCTCTTGGAGCCCAGAGTTCACTGTCCCGGGAACTGGTCCCTCATCAGAGCCACCATGGAGCCCCGAGGGCTTCCTGGAGGAGGTGTCCAGCCGGCCCTGGAAGGGGAAGGGCAGCTGGAGGGAGCTGTGTGGGGAGCATTAATGACACCCTGAAGGCGAGCAAGGGCCTGAAGGATTTGGTGGCTTGAGCCTGGACAGTCCCTGAGAGCCAGGAAGGGGTGAGGAGAGTAATGTGTAGCCAAGGCCACGTGGGACCTGTCCAGCCTGGCCTGGGCAGCCAGGACACTGTGCATCCCAGGAGCAGCTGAGTAGGCAACAGACATGCAGGTCTGTGCGGGGCATGGGCAATCGGGTGCCCCAGGAGAGGGGACAGCAGCGGGGTGCTGGCAGAGCCCCCAAAGCCTCCAGCCCAGAGAATCAGGGCAGTGGAGGCGCCTGCAAGGGACAGAGGAGCAGAAGGAAGCCTGGGGCATGGGCCGGGCTGACGTGGAGGGCATGTTGAGGGGTAGACGGCCCCTCGGGAGAGCCGGAGGGCAGGCCCTGGAGGCGGCAGCGGGCCTCTGTGAGCCTGGCTCTGCTCCAAGCTGGGCTCTGGTCAGCAGGTGGACCGCAACCCCTGCCATGGCACATCTGTCCCAAGCCCTCCCCCGGAAGGCCTCGTCCACCTGCCTGCCCTGCCTTCCTGCATCCTTGTCCGGGTCACCTCGGAGCCCCAGGCCGGTAGAAGGCCCTAGGAGGGCAGAGAGTGCTGGCTTGTGGCAGACACGCCCCTGCCAGCCCCAGCCCCTGCCGCCTGCCTGGACTTCATTCTTGGTCTCCCTGGGCCGCGGCCACTGACCTCCCACCCTCCCCGGCAGCTCTCCCACCTGGTGGCCTGGGCCTGGGTGGACCGAGGCCCCCTTCCTGACCAGCCCATGGGGCCTACTTCAACGAAGCCCCCAGGGTGCCCCTTAGGAGTCACGTCACCAGCCTCAGGGTCCCCAGTCCGCCCGGCCAGGCCCCGGGGAAGGCCAGGTAGGGGCGGCGGGAGAGGTGCCAGCCCGCCCTGCCGCCCGCAGGCACCACATCCACTACGTGATCCCATACGACGGGGACCAGTCGGTGGTGGACGCCTCCGAGAACTACTTTGTGACGGACAATGTGACCAAGCAGGAGATCGACCTCATGCTGGGGCTGCTGCTGGGCTTCTGCATCAGCTGGTTCCTGGTGTGGGTGGACGGTGTCCTGCACTGCGCCGTGCGCGCCTGGAGGGCCGGCCGGCGCCACGGTGAGTGCCTTGTGGCCGTCGCCGGAAACACCACCTGGTCACCCTGGCCTGGCCGGCTGCCTGACCACCCTGTCCCCCTGCAGATGGCTCCTGGACCTGGCTGCCCAAGCTGTGCAGCCTGAGGGAGCTGGGCCGGCGGCCACACAGGCCCTTCGAGGAGGCCGCAGGGAACATGGTGCACGTGAAGCAGAAACTCTACCACAATGGCCACCCCAGCCCACGGCACCTGTGAGCCGTGCACAGGACTCCCCGGGGCCGCCATGCTGCCGGCTGCTGTACAGGTGTAAAAGGGACCTCGCAGATGCCCAGGCCGGTGGAACTGGACGGTGGCCTTGGGCCCAGGGTGTCTGGGGCTGCAGCCGGCCAGGCGAGTCCAGTGGAAGGTGCTGTCTCTTCTTTTTATAAAGGGGGTCGGGGTGGGGCTGGGGTGGGGGAGCCCACTGGGCCTCAGGAGCAGGACCCTGGCCTCCTGGACCGTGCAGGACACAAGGGCAGATTCTGTCCCAGAGGTGCTGGGGGCTGGCAGGTGCAGGCCCAGGCAGTGCCATGCCTGGGCTGGGACCACATAATTGAAAGCTGCTGTGTCTGTTTCCTGTGCACTCTGTCCATCTTTCCATCCGTCCATCTCAGAGCCAGCTCTGGCGGGGGGCAGGGAGGCGCACACGGGAGCACATGCATGGGCTGGGTGCAGGTCCTCAGTAGCTGGAGGCCTGAGCCACTGTGGCCTCACTGTGAAGTCCGCCCCTGCCGTGGCCAGTAAATGCTCAGAAAGCTGCGGCCTGTGTCTCTTTGTCATCTCCAACCCCAGGGACTGCAGAGACCCCTTCAAGCCCTGCCTCGCACCAGCCACGAGACACACACACAGTCTTGTCAGTTTTTATTAGGTTCTGGATAAAAAGACCCCAGCTCCAATCATGGGCGGAGCGGGTGGATCCTCTTGGCTGGAGCAGCCATCAAGTCCTGGATGCCACTGGCCACTGGGGTTGTCCAGCCTTAGATGTAGCCCCCTCCCCACCCCAGGGTCTATCACAGTCACAAACATGTGCAGGGTGGGGACCTGCAGGCCACAGCAGGCAGCAGCACTTTGGCCAAAGGCTGGGCAGCTCAGGGCTGCCTCCCTCTCAGCCTGGTCCCTCCAGCACCACCCCAAGCCTGGCTCTCCCATGGGAGCTGAGAACAAGGACCAGGCCCTGGTATTGCTGGTCACAGCTACAGCTCAGCAGCACCTGCCCTCTGAGCTGGGCTTGGAAATCCCCGAAGAGTGTCCTGAGGCAGGAAGCGGGTCTATCCCTCCCCTGCCAGTGCCCATAGTGGGAGGGGTATTCTGGGGGGCAGAGGAGCTGAATCCACCACACAGATGCCCACAGCTGCACCCTGGCCCTGGTCAAAGAGATATTTAAAAATGCTAAAGGGGAGAGGGAAGAGGGAATGTGGTGGCCGGCACTTCCTTCCAGAAAGGCCACCTGGCCGGTGTGTCCAAGGCATCCAGACCCTGCCCGGTCTGGCTGCAGCCTCAGGGAAACGGGGACTGGCCTCCCCCGGGCCTGGGTCCCTGCACTGTCAGCCAGCGCATCTTCTGCTGGTGCTGCTCGATGGCATCCTGCACGCGGGTGTCCACCATGGCCTCGGTGAGGACGCCGTCCTCGGATGCGTACGCCATGGCCTGGCAGGGAAAGAGAGTACTGAGGGGCCGCCCACAGGGGCACGGCGTCCGGCACACGTGTGGACACACCTGCGCTCACGTGAATCGCAGCACACACAAGCCGCTGTCCCTGCAGCCCCACGGCCCTGCTGGTGTCCCCAGAACCAGCACTGCCTGTGTGCTCCCCTGGGTTTCTCCATTACTTTCTAAAAATAGAAAGTGTGAGGCTCCCCCACAGCAGACTCAGCTCCCTCCAGGCAGGATGCAGAACGCAGAGCCTCCTCAGCGACTCTGGGCTGCAAGATAAACTGCACAAGCCCCCGCACGACCCGAGGCAATTTGGGACCTCCCACCCCAACCACAGAGGGGTCCTGCGGCAGCCCCCAAGGCCAGGCTGCATCCCTGCCAACCTTCGTGCCCCAGCACACAGGCAGTGCTGCCCGAGGCTGCACCAACCTCAGGGGCACGTGGGCAGGGGTCACCCCCTAGTCAGGAGTTGCCCGCGGCTAGGCCGCCCCTACCACGTCCACTCCTCATAGATGACTGGGTGTCCCTCTTGCACCTCCTCATCCTTCCTTAGGACAGCACCCAGGCCGGCAGGCGGGGGGTCTGAGCCAATCAAGCTGTATCCCCCAGGCACCATTTAAAGGATGGCCTAACGCCTAGCACCCTGGCCTCGTGACATGGCTGCCCTGCTGGCCTCTCACGTGGAGCAGACAGGCTCTGAGAAGCATCTGAGAAGGGCAGGAGTGTTCCCTGAGGGGAGCGTGGTGGCCCAGGGGCCCATGTGGGCCAAGGCTGGGAGTGCGGACTTCGACAGGGCAGCCCTGGGCACAGGACCTTTCCTGCTGGGCCAGCCGGGTGGGGACCCTTGCCCTGTGCCACAGCCTATCTTCCCTGACGACAGGCAGGGCTGCAGGGGGCATGCAGCCACCTTCCCAGCACACCGTCACCTCGACAGAGCCTGAACAGGGTGGTGACCGCGCAGTGCCTGTCCCCCCTGGCAAACAGCACCAGCAGGGCCGTGGCCGTGAGAGTGGGACATACCCATAGCCCACCTCCCTGGGCAGACTGACGCAGGGCAGCTACTGAAACCATTCCTAGTCCTGAGCCGATCCCAGAGAGGGCCGAGGGAAGGGTGGGCGCCTCACCCCTTGGACCAGCGCAGGCGGCGTGTGGCTGGGCGATGAGCACACAGAGGGTGTCCTGCATGCGAGCCTGGACCAAGCTCAGGTCCGAGGTGGGGTTAGCAGTGACCTGCGAGATCCAGCCCACAGCAAGGCCACGGGGCCACTAGAGCTCTCCTTGCAACTTTTCTGTAAACCTGAAATGATTCAAGAATAAGAGACTAAAGGCAAGCCCAGAGCCTGAGGGCTTCACTGGTGAATTCACCAAACATTTCAAGAATTAACACCAGTCCTTCTCAACCTCTTCCAAAATACTGGACAGCAGCGAACACTTCCTAACTTAATCTGAGGCCAGCCTTACCCTAATAACAAAGCCAGACAAAGACACTGCCAGAAAAGGTAAACTACAGACCAATCAATATCCCTGATAAGTGCTTATGCCAAGAGCCTCAACAAAATACCAGCCAACCAAATTCAGCAGCACATTAAAAAGATGACACACCATGGCCAAGTGGGATTTATTCCTGGGATGCAACGACGGTTCAACATAAGAAAATCAATGAATATAATATGCCACATTAACCAAATAAAGAGGAAAACTTGCATGATCATCTCCATTGATGCAAAAAAAAAAAAAAGCATTTGACAAACCTCAACACTCAACTAACTAGGAATAGAAGGGAAAGTCCCCAACACAATAAAGGCCACGCGTCACAAGGCCACAGTGAACGTTATGCTCAATGGTGAAAGACTGCAAGCTGTCCCTTGAGATCGGGAACCAGGAGAGGATGCCCAGTTTTGCCATCTGTTCACCACAGCACGGGAAGTTGTAGCCAGAGCAGTTAGATGAGAAAAAGAAACAAAAGTCACCAAAGTTCAAAAGGAAGAGGTAAAATTATCTCTGTTCTGAGACGACATGATCATATAAGTAGAAAACCTGAGAGTCCACATCAAAAAACGAAACAAAAAGTGTTAGAACTAATAAAGTCATAGGGCCGGCCCGTGGCTCACTCGGGAGAGTGCGGTGCTGATAACACCAAGGCCGCGGGTTCGGATCCCATATAGGGATGGCCGGTTTGCTCACTGGCTGAGCGTGGTGCTGACAACACCAGGCCAAGGGTTAAGATCCCCTTACCGGTCATCTTTTAAAAAAAAAAAAAAAAAGAACTAATAAAGTCAGCAAAGTTGCAAGATACAAAATCAACATAAAAAGTTCCATTGCTCTACACTAACAGTGAATAATCCGAAGAGGAAATTTTTTTAAAAAAAGATGACCAGTAAGGGGATCTTAACCCTTGACTTGGTGTTGTCAGCACCACGCTCTCCCAAGTGAGCGAACCGGCCATCCCTATATGGGATCCGAACCCGTGGCCTTGGTGTTATCAGCACCACACTCTCCCGAGTGAGCCACGGGCCAGCCCTGAAGAGGAAATTCTGAAAGCAATTCCATTCACGACAGCATCGGAAGGAATAAAATGCTTAGGAGTTAACTTATAGGAGTACATGCATGTTCACGAATTAAAAGACTACATCATGTACTACCCAAAGCAACCTACAGATTCAATGCAATCCCTACGAAAATCACCATAACAGTTTTTTGTAGAAATAAGAAAAACGCATCCTAAAATTCATATGAAATCTCGCAGGAGCCTTAATTGGCAAAAATATCTGAAAACGAACGAAACTGGAGGACTCACACTTCTGATTTCAAACCTCACAACAAAGCTACAATAATCACAATAGTGCCGCACTGGCATAAAGACAGACACACAGACCACTGAGATAAAGAACCCAGAAACAAACCCTCACACATATGGCTCAAATGATTTTCAAAAGGGCGACAAGACCATTCAGTGAGGAAAGAACAGAAACTGGATGTCCGCATGCACAGGGATGACGTGTGTCCTCCGGACGTGTGTCCACGATATACAAATACTAACTCAAAATGGATCAAGGACCTAAACGGAAGACCTACGACTATAAAACTCTTAGAAGAAAACACAGGAAAAACAACACTGGATCTGGCAGCGATTTCTTGGATACGACACCAAAGGCACAGGCAACAAAAGAAAAAACAGATAAGTTGGACCTCATCAAAATGAAGAACTTTTGGGGCCGGCCCGGTGGCACACTGGAGAGTGCGCCGCTTGAGAGCGTGGCGGCGCTCCTGCCGAGGGTTCGGATCCCATTTGGAGACTGGTTCCCGCTCACTGGCTGAGTGCGGTGTGGGCGCAACACCGAGGGTTGCGATCCCGTTACCAGTCAGTAAAAAAAGACAAAAAGGAAAAAAGGAAAAAAAAAAAAAAGAACTTTTGTGCATCAAAGGACCCTATCAACAGAGTAAAAGGCAACCCACAGAATGTGAGAAAATGTTTGCAAGTCACATATTGATAAGGGGTTAATATCCAGAATATATAGAGAACTACAACTCAGTAAGAAAAAACTACAAACAACCTGATTAAAAAATGGGCAAAAGACTTAAATAGACTGTTCTCCGAAGAAGATAAACAGATGGCCAATAAGCACATGAAAAGTTCCTCGGCATCAGTAGTCAGGAGGGAAATGCCAGTCAAACCACACCGACACTCCACCTCACACCCAGCAGGAAGGCTACTCTACACACCAAACGAAAACAGAAATGACAAGCTTTGGTGAGGGCGTGGGAAAACTGGAACTCACACACTGTTGGTAGGAATGTGAAACGGAACATTGTGGCAGTTCCTCAAAAAATTAAGCAGAAAATTATGTGGTCCAGCAATTCCACTGTGGGTATAGACACAGAAGAATGGAACTCTGGGTGTCAGCACGCCCATGTTCACAGCAGTGTCACTTGCAAAAGCTAAAAGCTGGAAAGAGCACAAGAATCCACTGACAGGTAAACACGGTGTAGTCTAGCACACAACTGTTCAGCCTTAAAAGAGTCTGACACGTGCTGCAGTGCGGATGCACCTTGAGGACACTGTGCTCCGTGAAATACGCCAGTCACCAAAGGACAGATACTGTGTGATTCCACTCACATGAGGTTCCTAGAATTGTTGAGTTCGCAGAGACAGAAGGTAGAAGGGTGGGTGCCAGGGGCTGGTGAGGGGCTGGGGAGTTAGTGTTCAATGGGGACAGAGTCTCAATTTGGGAAGATGAAGAATTCTGGAGACGGGTGGTGGTGATGGCTGCACAGCAGACTGAATGTGCTCAATGCTGCTGAGTGCACTTAAAAATGGTTAAAGTGCATAGAAACAAAAACACAACAAAAAATAAAAAATAAAAATAATTTTTAAATAAAAAAGCAAAAATAATTTTAAAAATTTTAAATGGCTAAAACGGTGAGGATGGTAAATATTGTATAAAAAGAGAAGAAAAAGAGGCGGTAGGATCCACACAAGTGACTCGCATGAACTTGCGTTAACACAACAAACGCACTGAGAATGGAGGCTGCGGTGTGGGGTCCATGGAACGCCACCAAGGTGGGCTTCAAAGAGCAGGCGCACAGGCACCCACAGGATGTCCAGCCCAGGGGTGGGCAGGAGTGCCCACAGTGCCACACCCGAGGCCGGGCGCCACGTCGGGGCTCTTCCCTCTGCGTCCTGCTCCCCTCACCCATGGAAGGAGCAGATGGACCAGGCAGTGACCGGACATGCCCTGATGAGGACCAGACTCCAGGGGCAGGGCTGGCGGGCTCCACGTCCACTTGTTGCCTCAGTACTTCCTGGGTTCTTCAGCGTCCCCAGCCTGTCACCCACAGGCACTTCGGAGGCCTGTCACCTGCTCTGGGCCAACACGATGTGAGGGGTTGTGCTGTGCTGAGGCAGAGGCTTTGTGAGCCAAGGAGTGACCGCATGGCGGATTCAGTGTGTGCCCCTCAAGTTCCTCTGTGTTCACCCTAAGCTGGGTGGGGCTGGATGGGGAGGTGGGGCCTCCAAGGCAGTAATTCAGGTTAAATGAGGGCATAAGGGTGGGACCCTGATCCCACAGGATTAGTGTCCTTGCAGGAGGAGACACCAGAGTGCTCTCTACCATGTGGGAACACAGTGAGGACGTGGCCCCCTGAGACCTAGAAGGGGCCATCCCAGGACCCGACCCCACTGGCATGCTGATCTCAGACCTGCAACCCCCACTCTGTGAGAACAATTTTTGGCTGTTCAAGGCCCTAGCTGTGGTACTTTGCTATGGCTGCCCTAGCAGACTGAGTCCTGCCAAGCTCCCTGCTCTTGGCTTCATCACTGTGGAAACAGACCAGGGTCCCAAGAGAGGTCAGCCTGGTGCCGGGTCCTCAGTGCCACACAGCAGCACACGGGGATGCAGTCTGCAACTGGGGTGCGCTACAGCAGCAGAGCCCGCTCACTCTGTACCTGGGCTACAATGTTGAGATCAAAGAGGTATCTGCTTAATTGACCTCATACCCATTCGCTTACAGGCACTGCTAGCTTCGGAGTGGCCAGAGTGCCACACACCTCAGACAGCAGGCCCCACGGCGGCGAGGCTGGCACAAGCCCCTCCTGCCCATGGACCTGGACCTGGCTCCTCTCCAGCAACCACTGAAGACCAAGGCTGCCTGGACAGCCACACCCAGCACTCCTCAGGGGAGCTGCAGCTGGGATATTTCAGAGGATACAGTGGGTGTCAGGGAACAAGGCAGCCACTTGAGCCTGTGTGCCTTGAGTCATGGCAGGCAGGACGAAGTCCTCTCACCTGGTCCAGGTGGTTGACTTTCAGAAGTGCTCACACACAGATGACTGAAAGGCTCCGTGGACGGAGGGGAGGGGAAGACCCGCCGCAGGCAAGGCACCCTGTCCGCAAGCAGAGCCTCCTGCAACACCTGCCTGGCTCCAGCCAGGGACAGAGGCCAGGGTTTACCTGCGACATTCTTGCGGGGCTGTGGTGGCCTGATGTGGACCAGAGCCAGATGGGCCGCATGGCACAAAGCCACTGGCTCCCCTCCCCCATCCTGCCTATGAGGGGCACGGCAGGTGCACGGCAGCAGCCGGTGAGGCTGCCTCACTGGAACGAGGGTGGCGGCAATCACATCTGTGTGCAGAAAACCCTCCATCGGAAACGCCCCCAGGCAGGCAGGCCAGCCGCTGGGACTCACCTGCCACGCCACGGCAAGCTGGGAGATCTCCCGGCCCGACATGCCCTCTGTCAGCTGAGCAATCTCCGAGCACTTCTTCCCATAGTCAAACTGGGCCAGCTTCAAGCGCCTGGAAAAGGAGTTCCCAAGTGGTGGCCGTGGCTGGCGAGGCCGCACACGTCCACGGTGGGTGTGTGTGTGCACACACGCATGCATGCTGGGAAGACAGGTCCTGCCCTGCTGGAGCCCGTGCCAGGGACCCTGGGTGGTGCTCTTCTGAACACCCCTCATTTGATGAGCCAAGCTCTGTCCTAACACCCTGTCCTTCCTACTGATTGCAGGGCACTCCCTGTCTTCCTGAAGCCCGAGGGTCAGTGTAGCCTCCCCCTCAAGAGCACACCCCTCCTGCTCGCTCCAGATCCGCCACCCAGCCCCAAATAGCACACGGCAGGTAAACACTTGGCCGGCGATGAGCTCTAAACCCGCAGAAAATGAAGGGAAGGAAAATGAACAGTTCTGAGTTAAACAACTAGGTTGAATGATGTGCTACCTCCGGGCTCTGGCAATAAAGCCTGGCTGAAGGCCAGAGGACCTGTTAATGGTGCTTGGACAGCTTGGGCTGCACTTGCAGCCATGTCGGACCATCAGAGCTAGGGAGACGGGAGCCAGCCTGGGCGGGCGAGGGGGCGAAAGGAAACTGAGGCCCAGATACCAGGCTCAAGGGGAAGGACAAGGCAGCAGGAGAGGGCGGCAGGGGCGAGCCAAGTTCTCTCCAAAGCAGAAAACAGTGACAGGAGCAGCAGCAGGGATTTAGGTCAGGCAGGCGGAAGGACGGCAGTCTGGGAGCTGTGAAACCTGGTCCCCTAGAGACGGTTAAAAATGGAGAAGCCTCTGCTGATCTGGAGCGTGCTGCGTGGGGGAGGGGGTCTCAGCACCTGGGGGTTTTGGCCCCGGGCTTCTGCTGCCTACACCTGCCACCACCAATCACAGTGAGTCTGGTGGCATCGAGGAGCTCGTGGTTGGGAGCAGCAAGGTGCACGTGTGGCTGGCTGCAGGGAGGCCGTGTTGGCAGTGGACAGTGGTGACTGCCCACCTGCAAACCCAACACAGGGGTCTCAGCCCAAAGCTCAGCACCATCTCTGTCACAGCAAACTTGAGTACCATGCCACCCAGGGTGGGGATATCCTCAAAGCCCCCAGGCACTTAAGGCCCTTCAGGTAACTGGAAAGTTCTGCCTGTAATAACAAATCCTGGCTGGAGATGCAGATGCTGCTATCAGTGGTGGAACCGAGCTGGGGTGCCACACAAATGCCCATGTGGAACCATAGGCCAGGGGGAGGTGCCCAGACCAGGAGGAGAGGCCGGGTGGAAACACCCAGGATAAAGGGCAAGGGCGGCCGCCGACCGCAGTGAGGGACAGGGCGGGGCCGCAGACACTTACTGCTTTCCTTCTGTGGCCGGCTTAAGGACATACTTGTCAAAATACATTCTCACCAGGCGCTCCCGCTCCTCCCGCCGTGGCAGGTCGAAGCTGACCATCTCGTCGATGCGGTCGTTGATGGCCCAGTCGAACTGCTCGGGCTGGTTGCTGGCCAGGACTAGCATAAACCTACAGTGGTAGAGATGACGCCTGCCAAGGGCTGCCCGGCCCAGCACAGCCCCCTCCCAAGGCGACAGGAGGGTCTTTTAAAACTCCTCAGGGAAACTTCCTAGAAGACTCTAACTTGGCAGCTTTTTACCCAGAAAACCTCAGGAAGACCTAGCCACAGCCCTTTGCCACCCTCTGTCCCTCTGACAGTTTCCGAAGGGTCTGCTTCTCTCTTATCCTGTCCCGCAGCCCAGCTCGATGGGGAAGCATGAACTGAAACACCTGCTCCCCCCGCTGTCAAACCTCATGGTGCTTAGAGGAGGGAATGGGCACCCTGGAGTCCAGGACAGATGCCTGGCCACACCGGGAGCCAGAGTAGTGGGGCCAAGGGTTCAGCTGGGCCGAGGTGCCAGCTCAGCTTAGCAGGAACCCCGCCTGCCTCTCCAGGGAGACCTGAGTCAGGCCCCTGAAAGCATCTCTGCCATAGCAGCCACAGCCCACAGCAGGGACGTGTCTGAGAAGACACTGCACAGGGACCGGCACGGAGGAGGACCAGGGGGTTCCAGCGGCGCGCACGAGTGAGATTAGGAGACTCAGAAGGACTGGTGTGCCTGGCCATAGGTGACTGTCCTAGGGCCACCCTGTGCCCACCATCCCACCAGAGGCTGAGACCCCGTGATCCGTCCCAACGCACAGGATCTGCTTGCGCACTGACTTCCCAGTGAAGCAAACACACTTCCATCTCATGCCCCGGGGCCCACACCGCCATGGGGGTGGGGTTGATGGCTCCTGACCAGCTGGGGCATCAGGAGGGTCTGGGCCACTCAGGCCGCCTCCCGCACAGGCACAAGGTTCCTGCCCGGCAAAGGGCTGATAGGGCTGTGTGGACAATGACGACTGCCTGGCTTGGCCTGGGACATCCCTGGCACATTTACTCCACGACATGGCACTGTGCCTTCCTGAGCCAGATCCTTGATTGCCCTTCCTGGGCAAGGACTACCAGGTGGGACAGTGACCAGTCAGGAAGGCTGCCCAGGTGCCGTGTACCTGGTTCCTGGCCCTGCCCCACAGCAGCCGTGTACACTCGGGCAGTGCCTCAGTTTCCCTCTGTGAGCACTGAGGGCAGTGGTACAGGGGCGTGCTCTGCAAGGGGCCTTACTTGCTGCTGTGCTGGCCGGTCCTGTGTAAGAAGGCGTTCAGGGTGGCCCTGAGGTCTTCACTGATCTTCTCCTGCAGAAAGAACGTCCCGCCTCAGTCACGAGGCAGCCAGCCTGTGAGCGGTTTGTAACAGCCGAGGTGGAAAGTTCCACAAAGGCTGCTGTTGAAGGGCAGAGGCCTCCCTCCTGCAGGGAGCAGGAACATGACAGCTTTTATGCTTTTATGAATCTAAACTTGAAAGCCAAAACTTAACTTCAAGCAGAATCTAAAAAACGCTACAGCTATAATTCCTGTTTTTCCAACAAAACTTACAAAGAAAAAGCAAGTGAGGAGAGACTCATCCCCTCCCCGCTCCAGGACGCAGCGATGCGAGGCCTGGGCGCTGAGCCACCCTGCCCCCCTCCCACAGCTCCAGAGGATACTCACGGTCGCTCGCTTCCTGAGGAAGGCGTCGGCTTCATCCACAAAGAGCAGGAGGCTGTGAACGAGAGGGCAGCCAAGAAAGGGGGTTGTTTGAACACGAGCATGTCTCTGGAAGCATCCAGAAGCAGGCTGTGTGGGGCAGGTTCCCCCAAGGAGAAGCTGCTCCACAGAGCACTGGCTCTGCCCTATTGGGAGCTAACACACTGACCAGGAACCCTAACCACACTCTGCCCTCAGCTCGGGGCCATGGGCCTGGGCAGGCTCCCGATGCTGATGCAAAGACCCCCTTTCCCCTCTGTCCCCCTGCCCCACTTCTGGCACTCAGCAAATATCCCACAAAATCCCTCTTGCATGAAGGGCCCAGTGACCAAAGTGGTCCACACTGGGTGAGTTTCTCTCTCATGGATCCCCAAGCACAAACACCTGCCCAGACCCCCAGGGTGTTGTCAGAGGGTGGAGGCTGGTAGCATGGCCATGAGAAAAGGGGGTCCTGGCACGCCAGTCAGAACTCCCTTCCCGGCGGGCAGCCCAGTGGGCCACAGGAGCCGGGTCTATGGGGGCAGGGGGGCGCCTCACCCTCGCCGGCTGGTGTTGGCCCAGTCGAAGACCTTGTGCATGGCAGTCACGCCTTCCCGCCCCATGGGGGCTACGTCCCCACCCGTCATGATGGCGTAGTCCATGCCCGAGTGCAGGGCGAGTTTCTGGGCAGGAAGGGGTGGGGAGAGACAGAGGAGGTGTTGCCCCCACAAAGCCACCCTCACCTGTGTCTGGAAGAGCTGGGGTGGCGGCCGCCTGCCCACGTCCACACTGAGCCATCTGAGAGGGCTGCAGCCCACCCGAGGACAGCTCCCAGGGCTGGGTCTGTCCCACCCACACAGGCCTGTGGCACTCTGTCCCACTGCATGGCCGGCACTCACCTTGGCAAACAGCGTCTTGCCAGTGCCCGGTGGCCCATACATCAGAATGTTCCGGTACAGGCTCTTGTTCTTCTTGGTGTTCCTCGTGGCTATCGCGATGTCGCGCACCCGTGCCTCCAGGCTGGGCTGCCAGGGGAAGAGGATGGTTTTGGGGAAATGCTCTCCCTGCCCAGAGACAGTCTCCAGGGACAAGGGTTGTTCCACAGGGACGCCCGGCTGCATAGTCCATTCCTCGTGGAAACAGCTTCAGAGGCAGCTTGACCCCGGCTGGGTTTAGATGATAAATTGGATTTCAGGAGCCAAAAGCTGCCAGGCATCAGCACGAGGACCCAGTGCACACAGAGCAGCTCAGTGCCAACTCTCCCGAGCCACATGCAGCCCCCACTCCCACCCCAACTTACACTGAGGACGACGCCCTCCAAGGCATCCTGGGGCCTGCTGAGAAGCCGCCTGCTGACCTGCAGGGAACACCATTGGGGGTGTCAGCAGGCTTCAGCACAGCCACCCACCACGGAACTACCACAGCACACAGCCGGGACGACCTCGGAGCTGGGCAGGCAGCCCTGCTAGCAGATGTGGCACCCGCAGCTCAGCTTGGGGGACTCTCAAACCTGTGTTGACTACTTTCTCTACCACCCACACAGAGTGATCGGCAGAGAGGCCGCTCACACGTGTGGGGACAAGTGCAGCAGGAGCCCACACAAGCAAGAAGCTCCACTCCCTGGGGGCAGCCAGAGGTTGTGCTGCTTCTAGTAGCTTCTCTGACAGAAGTCTGGAGCCCAGGACAGATAAAGAGCCCCAAAGTGCACCAGACACCGGTCACATCAACAGATCCCGCAAAGAACCAGGGTGCAGTCTCCCTGTGCTGACGAGGGCGTACCCGACGGTGCAGCATCAAGTGTGGGGAAAAGCAGCCAGAACTAGCACACAGGATAGGGTGGCGTTACCAGGGAAGAGGGCAGGAGGAGCCTGCGCTTGTCACGTGCTCACGACACAGAAGGTGGTGTGGGGGACGGAACGGCGCACTACCTGGATGGGGTGTCTCAATGCCTCCAGGACCGTGATGCGGGATGTCTCCCGCACCAGCGACGGCTTCCCCAGTCGGGCCTCGATATGACGGCCCGCAACAGCCGTGGCATTCTTGGCGGAATAAACCCCAACGGCCAGCAGTGTCAGTCCAGCCACCTGGAGCAGAAAGACACCAGCAATATACCCGCAGCTTCTACGCCCAGCCTCACTGCCTCTTCTCACCCTGCAGCCAAGGGGTGGCCACAGGACCCTGAGACCCCAACACAACCCCTTGCAGCCAGCTCCATGAACCGCCACAGGCAAGGTACCAGAGGCCGATCACACACCCTTTCGCAGAGCGGTTTCCCTGCAACTCTCAAAGTAACAGCCTGACGCCGAGGCCACACCACCCCAGGGCTGAGCGTGGCTCTCGGAGCTGCCACTGTGCGCGAGGGCCACACCCGCCACTGCTTTCTTAGTCACTAAAAAGTCAGGCCTTACTCCTGGGAAACAAGATTAACCCAAAATCAATAATTGTTTTTAAAAAGTTCACTGATCAGGGCCAAGCCCGTGGTGCACTCAGGAAAGTACAGCGCTGGGAGCCTGCGCTCCCGCCACGAGTTCGGATCCTATATAGGGATAGCCGGGGCGCTCACTGGCTGAGTGCGGTGCGGCCAGTCACAAAAAGGATTAAAAAAAAAAAAAAAGTTCACTGATCAGCAGCTCAGCTGCTCGCTTTGCTGTTTGCTGGCTCCTTTTGGCAGTGCCAGCAGTGGTGACATCTGTGCACACAGTTGCACTCTCGAGTCTTCCAGCCAAGGGCAGCCCACTAATAACCAGCGGGAAGCAGTGTCATCGCAGCACAGGGAGCCAGCCCACACTGCCCTCTGAGCGCCCCCTGCACGCAGGCACAGCGGGATGCACAGGATGCATCTGTGAGCAGCTCAGGGCCTCCATACCACGGGATTTGAGCATTTGGCTACAGGGGGCCAGTCCCCCACTGACGGGGAAACCTCACAGAAACTTGTTTTGAAGAGGTGTAATGCCTCAGGGTGCTGAGTCAGAGGCCGACTCCTGCCCCCTGGAGTCTTGGCGGGGCCCACTCTGTCCCTGGGCAAGAGAGCTTCTGATCACACTCTCCCAAGGGCAGCAACTTCAATGAAAGATGGACCCTGGAGCACCAGCACCCTTCCAAGCCTTCTTCTGGCTGGTCGGGTGGAAACCTGGTGCCTCTTGGTGCAGGCTGTTGAAGCCACACCAAATTGATCAACTGGACAAGACCCAGAGGCTCTGTCACGCCCAGGAGAGGGGCAGAGGCACAGCAGCAGCCAGTGAAGCACAGGCTTGCCACATGTCCAGGCGGTCAGTGTGGTGCATACAGCAGAGCACCAGCTACCCTGCCACGGCTGCGGGACTGGGGGGCCCTGCGGAGGCCCCACAGCTGCCACTTGGTCGGCTCCCAGGGGACACATGGTGCTTACTGTGGCTGTCACCTTGTCCCAGTCTGTCACAAAGGCACGGAATCCTTCCCCAAACAGGGCACCAGCTGTCCTGCAGAGGGAAAGCAGCCACATGACCAGGAGGGACATGGAGACCTGTGCACATGGCTGCAGAAGGTCTTAGCCATGCACGCACCTGATGGACTCCAGGATGGTCTGGCGGTTCTCAGCAGCCTTCAGGCGGATCTGCTCACGGATAATGTCCGCGTTTTCCCGCTCGGCCTTGGCCCGGGCACGTGCCTCAGCCTCAACCCGCAGCATCTCATTCTTATGCCGCAGCTCCATCTCCCGCTCCACGGTGGCTACCCCAGGAAAGGTAGGGAGAGTAGCGCTCAGCCCGCAGTCATGTCTGCCTCTTGGCTCACACTGCGGACATGAAAGCCCAGACCTCGGCAGAACAGTGCTGAGCAGACCATAACCTGGGGCAGCCTCTTCAGCAGACGGAGGAGCCCTGAAACCAGACCCTGTGGCCGAGGCAACCCTTCCCGGGGCAACGTATTTAAAGGAACAAAATGCAATACAGAGAAAGCCCACTTACATTGAAAGACAACCATCAAGACCCTAGAGAAGCATGTGATACGATCACACACAGGCCTTTACTGACACCTGAAACGCAAACACCTGGGGACGAGCCCACCACCCTTGCAACCTGGTGCCTCAGGTCCCCCCAACAAAGCACTGAGGTGACATGCTTGTGATCTCCCCCGGGGCACGCACACACAGAGCCGACACCACAGTCTGTGTTTACAACTGAAATTCCACCACAGGACACATCACACCAAGCATCGTTTTCCTGTTCAAGTTAACCAGCCCAGCACTCCCTGCATGGAGCCTGGAGGTCCTGGGGCCACACACAAAGGCCTCTGCTGAGAGCATGCCCCACGTCACAGAGACCGAGAACCCTGCCAGCCTGCTCCTGGCTGTGAAGCCCCAGGCTGCAGAATGCTGAGTTCTGAATCATGGATCTTGGTCAGCATGCTGTTTAAATGGTTCTTGGGGACTGAAGTGCTCAGAGCAGCCCCTGCCCACACCAAAGGTCCGTGCTCACCCTGGGACCCTTCCACCAGCAAGACTCACTGCCACCTCCACTGCCCCCTCCTGGGCTGAAGTGACACCCACCTCGCCGCATGGCCTCCTGCTTCTGCACAGATTCCTCCTGCTTCCGCAGATTCTCCTCATTGATAAGTTGCTGAGAAAAAGCCATAGAGAAAGGGAAAAGCTTTCAAAATCAGAAAAACAATCAATACCAACGCAAGAGGCTGCGGCTGCTCTGAGCTGGAGAAGCTTCACCTACCTCCGAGGGGCCCTGACTTTCTTGGGGACCACAGGAGCCTGAAGACTCCACACCCTGATATGAACACACTTGAAATGGGCCCCTGGACATGTGTACCCGAGGGGCTGGGCTTAGAAGCCAAGTCCACCCCACCCACCACCTGCTGGGGCAGAAGCAGCCTCTGCAGCAACTTCACCAGTGAGGATCAGCACGGGGAGGACCACCAGGTGCCACGACCCAGACTCATGGCTATTTTTACAGAAGACTGCTTTTTGCTTAAATGTAAAAGCTGTAATACCCACAATGGGCAAAAACATTTGAAAGCCCCCCATGAACTCGAGAGGCTAATGAGCCCTAACAGGCAGAGGGCGAACAACACCAGGCTCTTACCATGGCCCCTGGGACCCTGCCCTCAGCCTGTCACCAACCTCCCAAATAGGACCTCACCCAGCAAAGCCAGGTGCCCAGGCAGAGGGTCCTCACCTGGTGGGAACCCTCAGAGCAGCTGGAGGACCCACCTCTCTAGAGGCCACAGGAAGGCAGGTGCATCCACGTGCCTGTGCCCATTTGAGCCTGCACATCTCTGCATACACGTGTCTGTGTGTGCATGTGAGCACCTGTGCGTGTCTCTGTCCCAGTGAAGTTCCCCCGGGACCAGCACCTACCTTTAGTGAAACAACCCGAGTGTCCTCACCCCTTGGACTCTGGCCCACCAGCCACCCCAGGATGCAGCCTGTGCTCCCAGAGGAGGCGTGCCAAGCTCACCTGCTGCTTCAGCTGATCCTCGTAGCGCTGCCGGGCCAGCTTGTCCTGGTACTGGGCCCTCTAGGGAAGAAGAGAACAGCGAGGACACGTCTCAGCAGAAGGCACCTGCCCCCCCAGACACAGACACGCCGGGCACGCCCCATCCGGCTAAGTGCGAGGGTCTGTAGGTCTCAGGTCTCTGTAGGAGGGTGTTCCAGGGCGGCCTAACGACTCACACCTCTGTAGATACTCGGTTGGTCAGGAACAGAGACCCAGAGCTACACCTCAGCCCCCCCGGGCACCTCAGGCCTCCCTCCCACGTGGCCGCATGTGCCTTACAGCCTGGTGCTGCCGCGTCTCCTCGCTCAAGGTCTTCCTCCTTTCCTCAGCCTGCACTCGGATCTGCTCACTCTTCAGCTGCTCCACAGCGGCCTCGTATTCCTACGGGACGTACCACTCAGACTCTCGTGCTCAGAGCTCATGCTGCCATGAGCATCCCCTCCCAAGTGCTGCACGGGCTCTAAGTAGTGGCATCACATGTTGCATCCAGACTGGTCTGCACAGCAGGCCTGGCCTGGGTGGGAGGCACTTCCAGAAAATGCAGCCTGGACTGACAGCCCCACACACCTAAGTCGGCTCTCAGCTGTGCCCACACAAAGGCTCCAGCCAGGAGGAAGCCAGACCCACAGCAGAGAGAAGCACCAGGGAAAGCCTGGGAAAGGACCCCAGGGAGGGAACCAGACACAGGACAGATGGTCGGTCTCCTGGAGGTGCCTGTCACTCCCTTTCCAGAGGTTGTTTCAAGATGGCTCATGCCATGTGCTCACCTTCTGACTACATTTCACAACAGCCAAGAACAGAAGACAGAGCCTGTGTCTGTTCTATGCTCCCTGCCTGCTCCAGAAGAGTGCATAAACGAGGTACAAATCTCGAGAAGATCCCCCACCCTTGGAAGACCAGACGTCTCTCTCCTACAACTGCCCTTCCAAGTGGCTCTGCTGCAGGGACTCAGGACACACCCAGTGCCTCGTCTTCTACCTCCCCCTGCTTCCTTCCAAGGAACGAGGTGCCAGGCGTGGCCCTGGGCCTGCCGTCCGTGTACACATCCCCCAGGCACCCCCTGCCCACCACTCACTTTGAGCTTGGCTTGTTGCTCCATCTGCAGCGTCTGCTCCTGCATCTGTGCAAGACTCAGTGCATCCTTCGCGTGGCCTGTGGTGGCGTGCAGGAGAGAGAGCATTAGACATGTTGCCAACACCCGGACATGTCTGCAGCTAGCAGGTGAGCGCTTCCTTGTGCCAAGGGGCCCTCTGGGAAACCACAGCCTTGCTTCAACCCCAGAGCTCTGTGCCGCCTCCCCAGCCCTCCTCACCTGACCACTTCATTCCTGCTCAGACCTTGCTCAACAACCCCTCCCTCCAAAGGCTGCTGCCCATCCCCAAAAGAAAGCCTGGCGCATGCATGTGATCTTTATCCCCAAGGGACCATCACACTCCAGAGTGCTCCATCAGAAAGGCCATCCACACTCACTGAGGGTAGAAGGAAGGGTCAACATGGAGGTCATTACCCAAAGAAACAAAAAGAAAGGTGATGGCTAAAGCGTCCCTCATTTTTTACATTGTATATGCTTTTCAAAGCTTTTGACACATAGTGTCATCGATGTGCTATCAAACACGTGCAAACAAAAAAGGAATGAATAAGAAGTAAACAAGAACGAAGTCAGATGCAAGCCAACATGCCCAGGGTTACAGAAACATGCACAGTGTGAATATCTTCTCCATGTGTTTTGTTCGTAGGGTGGAACTGACATCCTTCAATATTTGAAAGGTCTAGAAAAAAAACTTGATCTCTTGGGCCGGCCCGGTGGCGCACTGCTATAGTGCGCCGCTTGAGAGCGCGGCGGCGCTCCCGCCGAGGGTTCGGATCCCGCATGCAGACCGGTTCCCGCTCACTGGCTGAGCGAGGTGTGGGAGCAACACCGAGGGTTGCGATCCCGTTGCCGGTCCGGTATGGGCGCGACACTGAGGGTTGCGATCTGTTGCCGGACATGAAAAAAGACAAAAAAAAAAAAAACTTGATCTCTGGTACTCTCCTAGTTAAAGAAGCCTAAATCCTAGGTCTCAAATTTTTCTGTGAAACAGTTTTCCTGTAACTATAACTCCACATTTATTAAGGTTTTAGTTTTTTTCTTTTTCTGGAGGTAAAACTGACAAAATGTGCCACACTATCATAAGCACACCCCACGTGTGAGCAGATGTTGGGGAGCTTTGGGTTTGGCATCCACCTGCTCATGGCAGGCGGCTTGGTGTGATCTCTGTCAACAGGCATCAGCATCAAAGCTTGGCAAGGACCTTCCAAGCCTGCCTCCTGGAACCTCACGCACAAGTCTCTCCCCAGGGCTCCAGTGACTAATGGCACAGATTACAAAGGGCCTGCCTAAAGGGGGGCCACAGAAAGCACTGGGTCCTGTCCCATTCAGCTGGGAAGCTGGGGAGGCCAAGGGCTGAACACAGTGAGGGGACTCTCTAGCAGCTCTCGCTCCGAGAGGGAAGGGACGGGGGCACAGCAACTCCCTGCGCTGTCATCCCAGTGAAAGGTGTCACAGTCCAACAACACTGGGACCACATCCCAGCTGTCCTGCTCACTCACACTGTGACCTTTGGCAAACTACGTTCACCTCTTCGAGGCCATTTCCTTCCCCGAAAACGGAAGCATTGCAGTTCCTTCTCCTCCTAAGTCCTGGGAGGATGGAACATGAGCAGGTGAACGCCAGCATAGGCTGTTATGAGGACCCTAAATCACAAGCTACGACTTTACGAGTGATAACTCGTCACCTTGAAATTGTTCTGTACTAGGAGACGTACATCCCAAAGCATTTATTAAGCACCTACTACACTCAAAATGCATACACGGAGCATACAGGCAAACGCACTGGTGCACACAGCTCTAAGCCAAATGTGCTGCTCTGGCTTCCAAGGAGGACCTAAGAGAGTGTCAGGGAAGACCCTGGGAATGAGGCAGCATGGGCTGGGCCTCGAGGGATAGAGAAGGTGGTCATTCTGTGGGGAGGAACTGCTGGGGACAGCTCCACTTTGTTGGAGAGAGCAGAGAGTTCAAGGCAGCAGGCTCAGGCTAAAACCCAGGCCAAAGATGCAGAACAATCCAGGCACCCAGGAGCTCATAGGACAGGCTGGCAGGAGGCACCATGGGAAGAGGAGCTTGGGGACAGATAGGGGCAGCAGACCAGTGAGAAACCCCTCACCAGCCAGCACTGAGGCCAGGAAGTACAGCAGGAATAACAGTGAATGAGCATCCACACCTGCAACGGAGTCCACAGGAAACAGAGATTGATTGGGGGGGGGGGGGGGGA